AAGTTTGATCATTTGATTGGGTTGTGGTTGCCAATCCCTCCATTGTAAAAGTACCCTTTCCTTTTGTAATTAATAAGTAACTGATGGAGAGGTACTTAGAGACCACATCATTCCTCAGCCAACTCACCCAGGGCCATTTACTGATGATCTTTGCCCAATTATTTATTATGCTAGTGTTTGGGAAATCGTGCTTTCCTAATTTTCCCATTCGTTCTATACTTGACTTTCCTTTAGACCCCAAACAGATCCAGCCATATAGTGAAAGACTCATCAAAATTTCTCTGGGTATATGAACCTACCTTCCAGGATGGTTCTGGAAACTGCCCCTAAAGGAAGCTGTGGCAAACACTGTTCATGGACCACTGAAATCTCTTCTGCCCTGGCACAAGACTAGACTACATTCCCAAGCTCCTGGTGGCAATATGTGGGCACGTCTAAATTCTCTCCAATGGAATGTCATTGGAAGGGATGTGTGCCACTTCCAGGCCTAGGCCTTAAGATGATAGAAGGCAGCTCTGCTAACCACTATACCACCAACACGAGATGATGGATATACTCCCTCCATGCTTTCTTTCTCCTTACTAACTAGAACCCATGGCCACCTGGCCTTGACCATGAAGATGACAATGCCTTAGAGCAGGAATCAGTAAACTACAACCACCACAGGTCAAATCAGGCCCAGTGCCTGTTTTTGTAAATAAAGTTTTATTGGAACATGGCCACATTAGCTCATAAACACATTTTCAATAGTTGCTTTCACATAACAAATGGCATGGCCCACAAAGCCTAAAATATTTATTGTCTGGCCATTTACAGTAAAAGTTTGCCAATCCCTGCTCTAGTATACAGTAGGCACTTGATAAATGAGAAATGTTAACTTTCCCATTCAATGGGCCCCTTAAATCCACCACCAAATGTATTTGAAACACATCTATCTTGGGGAAAAAGCCTGACCCTAATACCTCCAACTCTTTCCTTTTTTAACAGTAGGCTTCTGGAAAATCCAGGATCTTGCTCCCAGCCCTCTCCCACACATCAGGCCACCTTGTGCTTTAGGTCCAGGTGAATCTTCCTAAAACAGGATTGTCATCCCAATTTGCCTTGGTCAAGATCTCCCACTGTCTATTGTCCTGACATCAAACCTAATCGGCTCTTAGCCTTCCAGACCCAGTAATCTGACTCTTCTTCCCCAAATCAAACTTAGCTCCACTCCTACCTTACAGCCAGAGCTGCTGGGACGGGGTGATGAGATGAGAGAGATACTCCCCAATGCACCAAACTTAGGTGCGTACCAAAAACTCAGTAATCAGAATTAACAGTATCTTAATGCAATTAAAAAAAAATAAAAATTAATGCATAAACATCTATGAACAACAAAATATCCAAATTTTAAACAAAGTCTTTGAAAATTAACCTCCACCTGCTCTGCCCCTCGGTCTAAGTTCACGGGTTCTTGGACATGAAAAGGAGGTAATCACTAAAAACAGCTGGCCAGCTGCCTCCTGTCTTCAGGAAACCCACAGATCTCAAGAGAGATCATTCTGAATCTACCCCTCCCACAGCCCCCTTGCTATACCTCCAGCACCAACAGAATCTTAGCTTTAGTAATAAACGTACAATGTTTCAGCTTTGAGGTAGGAAGCCACCTGCTGATCCTACAGTGGCTTTCTAGGTCTTTGCATTTTCCATTAGAAGCAGGTGGCAGTCTCCTCGCAACAGAGGAGCCTTTCATATACAGCTCACTCGACAATGACTCCAGCTTTGTGTTAGCACAGTCTAGCAGGAAAGGGGTGCGGAGACCCAGATCAGTGTGGCTCAGAGTGAGAGGAACAGAGAGCACTGCCGAGGCTGAGACGCCAGCAGTGCCATCAAAGAGACCAGCAGGGGAGAAGGGCTTTGTGCCTTCAGATATGCAGGGATGGGGGGGGGGGCTGCTGAGAGAAGTGTGGGCACATTCTAAGGAGAGAAAAAAGTGAAAGAAAGCAGAGGAAAGAACTCTACAGTTGCTGCCAAACAGGAAAGCGGCATGTCCCTCCTCTGAGCCCTTCTCAGCTGCGGTTCCGTTTCCAGTTACCACTGGGCCAAAGGGGGTTGTCGTCTCATCACAATACAAATAATTTTCAAAAGGTGCTAAACATTGCCTCATCTGACTCAGAAAGACAAGGAAACTGCTCAGAGCCGCCCCCCCCCCCACTTTTTAAAAGTCAGTCTCTCACTTTGCCCTTGCTTGTGGGGGCGGGGGGCTCTGCGGATTGCCTACCCCGCCCCCCCCAGGGCCATTTGCCTTCTACCACTTATCTGACCTCAACTGTGCAGTTCCCCCACCAAAGGAATTTCAAACATAAGGCAACAGCTGCAGAGAGATTTTGGGGGGATATTAAAGTCTTGCAGGGAAAGTGCTTGGCCTTGAAAGTCTTTATCTACAGATAACAAACTTGGCCCGGTGTGAGGTTTGCTGAAGAACAGTCACATTAGCAGCTGTCCACTTACACATTCCCCAGGCAAATCCCAGCTTCAGGTCCCCACATGCCCTCCCCCGCCCCCCAGCAAGTAGTTCTAAATCAACACTCAGGAGGCTGCCTTGTCCTGGAAGCCACTGCTGCCAGGCCCCACAGGAGTAGGCTGTTTGCCGCCCACCTGCACCCGACAGCCCTGGGTGGCCAGAACTCTGTGTTCTGGCCTCGTTTGGCCACCAGTGCCCTTGATCTCTCACACACCACACCTGAAGGAAGCTTCACCTCCCTCCCCTGCTGTGCTCTCCTTCCACCTGGCTCTGTCCTGCTGTCCTCCCTAGTGAACAGCCCCCTCCTCTCCAGAGCCCAAAGCCCTCCCCACCCTCAGCCTTTACCTGCTGCAGGAACGGACACCTGGCTCCCTGCCCTCCCAGGTCTCGGGCTTCCCCACGGCCCTTGCCAACAGAGGCTCACTCCCCCACTCCACAGCACACCATTTCCCCTCCAATCTCTGAGGTTTAAGCCATGCCCCAGCCCATGCCCACCCTCTCCTGGTTACTCCCCCTTACTCTACCTTGGCAACAAGCTCACAGCCTTCTCTCCACCCAGCTGCTACCACCATGGAAGGAGGTCTTCACCATCCATCAATCCCACACCCTGGCTCTCTGTCCCTTGACCCCATCTCCAAACACCTCCCCCCTCCTCTCCATTTCAACCACACCTTCCCCTACACAGAATCTCTTCTGACACCAGGAATTCTGACCTTGTGACATTGCGCCCCCTTGCCCTAACCTCCCCGCCTTCCACCCCATTCATCCAGTGACTCTCACCACACCAACACTGTGTCCTCGGCCTAACCTCCATTCCCTTTTCCACGCTTTTCCAGGCGGCCAGCCCCCCTGGTCCCCCGAGGCCTCTTCCCTATCCAGCCTGAAGCACACACTCTGTCTCTTCAACTGCCCTCTCGCCCAATGTCTCAAAATCACCATGGTCTTTCTGAACCGCAACCCTGGATAAGTCAATAGCCTTTTTTGCTGAGCAGACCCCACACTGGAGAAAAGCACAAAACCTAGATCAGGCCTCCGGATCAATGGCCACCCACCTCAGCGGGGCCCTCTACACTGCCACCAGTGTCTCTGTCCCAATCCCCAGGGGCCCGCCGGGGGGTACAGAGCTCCTCTGACCTAACCTTAATCCTTCCATTCTCTCCAGCTCCTTGGAGGCCTTGAGCCACATTTCCTGCTCCATTCCTCCTATATGGACAACCTCTCCCCATGACCCAGAAACTTCAAACAGCATCTAAACAAGTCCAAGTATTCTAGTCTCTCTCCTCTGAGAAATAAGTAAGCCCTCTCTGGGCACATCTCCCTCAAGCTACTGCCCCATCTCTCTCCTCTCCTAACCAGAGGTCTACACTCCCTGCCCTGTTGTCAGCTGGGCCGCCCACTTCCACCACACCACAAGTGCTCTCACAGGGCCACTGAGGGGGACATTCAGTGTTGTTCTGACACAGCTAACCTCCCCGCCCCGGCACCCCCACACACACACGCCCGTTTCTGTGACATCACACTCCTGTGTGCACCTGTGTCTCAGCCCCCCTCCTCACACCAACCCTGAGGCTGGGGCTCCTCCAAGACCTCTTACGGGCCCTCTGCTGTCAACACCTCGACTCCCATCAACTGCTCTGCCACACAGATTGACATCTGCAGACACGTTTATCCAACTGCTTCCTACACTTCTCCACTCAGAGGCTGCAGACGTTCATGGGCAACACAGCCAGAAACAGATTACTTTCTCTTCAACTCCTTCTCCTGTGTCCCACTCCTCAGTGAATGGCTGGGCCCAGCAGAGAGTTAAAGATCAATATTTGCTGAGTGAATAAATCTTCCCTCGTTCTTCACAGCCAGTCACCAAGATCTGTCCATCCTCTTACTACAACCCTGTGCTTCTTGCTTAGGTGAGGCTGGCTGTCTTCCAGGCAACTTTTCGAAAGGCCCCGGGGCCCCCTCGATTCCGGAGGGACCGGGATCTTGCCGGTGTGCCCTAGCCCGTGAATGGCGAGCCACCGCGCGGATCACAACGCACTGTGAGGCCCGCCTGGTCTGCGGCACCTCCGCTGCACCGGGAGCTCACTTCCACCAGCGCCCGTGGCCCGGCCCACGGGAGCCGCTCAGTCAGCATTATAGGTTTGCAGTCAATGAGCGGAGTACCGAGCTAAAGGGACCACAGCGCGCCCGGGAGTCGGCAGCTAGACGTCCGGCCCGCGCCAGGCCCCAGCGCGCCAGCTCAGCCGGCACGCCGCGCGCCCGCCCCCCAGCTCACGCGGCGGGCGAGGGGGGCCCCGCCCCCGTCCCACGCGGCGCCCCCGGAGGCCAATAGAAATGGTCTGCGGGGCACCGCCTCGACGCGCTATACACGGACAAGCCAATGGGCGCGCTCTGCAGCGAGCGCCGCTCCCGCCGCGGATTCGCAGCCAGCCAATGGGAATGGCTGGCGTAGCCCTCAAGTGGGCGGAGCGGGCGGCGGCGGCCCGGAGTCCTGGGACGCTGTTGCGGGCGGGGGCCCACTTCCCACGTCCGCGGTACAGGCGAGCGCGTTCTCGGCTCCTGCCCGGCGTAACCAACGGATGATGGGGGCTCTGGGCGCCCGGCGCGGCCTGGAGTGGCTACTGGGCCTCTACTTCCTCTCCCACGTCCCCATCACTCTGCTCCTGGACCTGCAGGTGGTGCTGCCGCGCGATCTCTACCCGGTCGAGGTGAGGGCGACAGTCCTGTCCGCTGGTCTTCGAGGTTGGGGCCCCTGCGCGCGCTGTGGTTGTACGCTGGCGTCCCCAAGACCTCCCCTCCTCCGCCGGAGCCCCCCCGCACCCCGGGTTCTGGTTCTGCTCCCCCTTTCCCTACCGCCCTCTTAGGCCCTTCCACCGCCCCGACCCCTTCTTACCGGTCAACTCGACGTCTTGCTTGGGGTTTTTCTTGCCCCAGACCCTTACCCCAAGCTGCTTGGTGCAGATACTTTGGTCCTTTTGAAGACACTCCTTCCCTGGGTCTGTAAGGCGCGCACCCCCCACCTCTGGTCGGTGGTATTTGAGGGAAGTAGCCTGAGTGAAACCAGTGTCTCAATCACGTGCTGGATCTGTGTGTTCTTTGAAAGAGCTCTAAAGTACCGTCTAATCCCAAAGAGATAGTGCAAGTGGAATTAGACCCGTAGAAAGGGCATGCACAGATCATTCCTTCAGGATCAGGATCCCCCAACTTCAAAAGCTCCTAAGTAAATTAAGGACACCTTTTCAAATCAGCCCTTGTCATTAGGTTCCAGTAAGAATGATCACCTGAGTAGAAATCAGGGCGAAAAGCCCCATTCTCTGGTTGTTGAGTATTCTTTACCCCAAACATTGTTTTAATGCTTGTCAAACCATTTTATTTTCTCTGGTCTTTTTTTATGTCTGGACCCCGTAACCTTCCATGAAACTCGTGTCCTCAGTTCTGTGCTTCTCCAGATCGTCTGCAGAACTGTGAGCAAGACTGACTCGTCTACCTAAGTAATTGATTTTGCCTCTCTATGTCTTTAGACGTTTTTTCTCTGCAGCGCAGGGGTTCTTAACTTTAGGTCCAGGAACCCCTTACGGGGTATGCAAATTGTGCCTTGTATTTTTCTGGGAGGAGAGTCTACAGCTTCCATTAACTTTTCTAGGTGTCTGACCTTCCCAGAAAGGCCACTGCTCAACAGTGTGCCCCACTCCATAGTCCTTTTGTTTGCCTCTAGATCCCAGGCGTAAGAGGGAAGACTTCTGACCTACCTTTTCTTGAGAAAACTGTAGGAATTGAGTGGCAAGAACATTGAATTGCAGTCTGAGGACCTGGTTCTTTCAAGAGCTGCCTTGATATCTTGGGCAAGTCCAAGCTGTATAGCCTCACCTGCCAAGTAAGAGAGCTGGGTGAGCTTGTGAGCTAGCCATATGGGGGTGTGAGTTTCCTGTTGCCGCTGTAACAAAATACCAGAAACACTGGGACTTGAAACAACTTACTGGCTCACGGTTTTGGAGTTCAGGAGTTCAAAATGCATCTTTTTGGGCTGGTTCCTTTGCAGGTCCTACTGGAGAATCTGTTTCTTGCCTCTTCCAAGTTGTAGTGGCTGCCAGTGTTCCCTGGCTTGCAGTGATACCGCTTCAATCTCTGCTTCTGTCATCGCTTTGCTGCCTTTTCTATAATTCGGGCTCCCTCTGCTCCGCATTTATAAGGAGGCTTACGATTACATTCAGAGACAACCAGCTGGTCCGCATAGCTAGTCTCCCCATCTCAGGACCCTTAACTTAGTCACATCTGCAGAGTTTCTTGCCGAAAAAGGTTAGGTGCAGAGATTCCAGGGGATTAAGAGGGGGATATCTTTTGGGGCTGTCATTCCGCCTGCCGCACAGTCGCACTCTCAGAAGGCCTCCACAGCTGTGCACCAGCTATTGGTTGCCTGAAGAAAGGAGAGCCTCGTGTGTGGCTTGCAGAGCCTGGGTGACCAGCAAAGCTCGGGCAGGCTGCCTGCTCAGTCTTTGATGTGAATCCCTTTAGGACTGGGCACTTCTGTTCCTCCAGGTATTCCTCACTTAACAGCTGGGACTTTATCTTTTTTGAATGTGCCGTTCCCCCAGGTCCTTGCTCCCCACTCACTGAATACAATAAAAATGCGTGGAGTGTCATAAAGACCCCATTTAAGCTTATATATTTGATTTGGTAAAAAAATTTTCTCACCTTTATAATACTGACTTACTGTAAAAGGTCATGGGCAAGCAGGATCTGGCCAAATGGTGCATGTGTGTGTCTGTCTCTCTGTCTGATGCCATTTGAAGGTGTTAGCAACACGGGGGCATCCTCCTATTTTGAAAAGGCTGTGTCTGTTTTCACTCTTGTTGCTTTGGAGTAGAATTTGAAGGTTTTATTGGTTCTTTATGGGGAAATAATAAAATCCTTGAGTTATTCTCAGGTTCTCTTTGAAAAAGTTCCAAATCTTAACATCTGTCATGTTTTTCTTCCCTACATAGAAGGAATTTTCCCCTAGAACTAAAAAGTTTGCAGAGCTCCCATAATGGTTAGGCTAAAATTTGTCAATTAAATACCTTCCTTGGTTTGAACAGATCAACAATTGGACAAACTTTTACTATGAAACAGTAAGGATTTCGTTTGACTTAGAACTTGGAGAAGATGGGGAAGCATTTTGTAATATCATTTGCAGCTGGGGAGCATTGCTTCTGCTAAAATAAGGAAAGATGGGGAGCACCTGGATGGCTCAGTCGGTTAGGCTTCTGCCTTCAGCTCAAGTCATGATCCAGGGTCCTGGGATCGAGCCCCTCAGTGAGAAGCCTGCTTCTCCCTCTCCTGCTGTGCTCTCCCTCTCTGTCAAATAAATAAAATCTTCAAAAAAATTTTTAAAAGGTGAGCATCTATGTGTGAAATCAGTCTGTGCTCTCGTTCTTCTTTTTAAGAGAGAGCATGATCGAGGAGGGGCAAAGGCAGAGGGAGAGAATCTTAAGCAGGCTCCACGCCCAGCAAGGAGCCCAGAATGGGGCTCAATCTCATGACCCTGAGATCCTTACCCGAGCGGAAATCAAGAGTAGGACGCTTAACCAACTGAGCCACCCAGGCACCCTCATGCCCTCATTCTAAGGTAGAGAAGTACCTTTGCAACTCATGGTTTAGAAATCCTTGTGCAAAGGCCAGGTAAAAAGTTTAATGGGTAAGAGTGGTAAGTTGAGTCAAATGAGAGTCCGGTATAAACCTTTTTTTGGGTCTTAGCTAATAGGAATAATTCTTACTAACAACAGTTGCATGCTGAGATTTTAATAGGATTAAACTTGAATTTCTCTGAATATGGGTTAATTACATTTAAATACGTAATGGTAACATTTACTGTGTGCTTGCCATTGTTCTAAGGTCCATGTACATTAAGTCCTTTCATCTTACCAATAGTGAGCTAAGTACTGTAATTGGGAAACAAATTTCGTGAGATTAAGCACTTTGTCCAGAGCCAGGAATTGGGCCCCCACGTCCCATGCTCTTCACTCGGCCAAGGACCTATGAGTTGCCTTCCACCTGCCCTTGTCCAGGCCTTGGTCTGGCGTCATGTGGCTATTATGTGACTGTGGGCAGGTGCTTGGGTCCTAATTGATTTACTTCCAGAGCTGGCTGATTAGATTATTTTAAGTTTTGCTACTCATCCTGCAGCCCTTAGAAATCACCAGGCAGTATAGAACTGTCTGGATTTAGGAAATAGGTTGATCTGAGAGGTTGCATACAAATTGAATAGAAAATGAAACTCAAACAAATCAGAGAATGCCTTGTAAATCTTAGGGTAAATCTTTAGAGCAGGTCATTCCCTTAAATTTTTTTTTTTAAGAAAATCTAGAAAGCAGGGTGCCTGCATCTGCCTTCAGCTCAGGTCATGCTCCCAGGGTCCCGGGATTGAGCCCCGCCTCCAAGCACAGCCGAAAGCCTGCTTCTCTCTCTCCCACTCCCCCTGCTTGTGTTCCCTGTCTTGCTGTCAAATAAAATCTTTAAAAAAAGAAAAGAAAAGAAAATCTAGAAAACAAAAAAGGACCTTAAATATTTGGTCCACGTTGCTTGTTCTACTGATGAGGAAACAGAGCCCAGGAGAGGTGCAGGGACTCAAGCTTTATGAGTATTTTCTATGCCATTACCTCCCTGAGAAGTGTCTAGAAGGAAGCCAAGAGTATTGCTGTAAAATTTTGATTTCAAATCAAGTACGAATTCGGTATCACTTGGTAGATAAGGTTGTTGAGCCACAGCCTTTCTGAAAGTAAGATCAGGCCAACGAAATGTTTGTTTCTGGATATTTGCTTAAAGGCTACTTTCAGCAGTGAGGCCTTATTTCACAATAGTGAGCCTTTATCTTTTGATTAAAGATTAACAGGAAAAACATCTTAGGATTTTCCATTACAGGCTGAATTCTGACACTGGAAGTTGCCTTGATTTATCATGAGATCAAGAAACGTTTTTGGTTTTGGAGGCTGGTGTGTCAAGACAGGGTGTAAAATGCAACAGACCTTCAGTCGTCTGTGTGGTGTGGGGCGCCCTGGGCTTTGGGCCCTTAAAAAGGGCACAAGAGGGGCAACCTCAGACCTTCCTGCTTCCTTCCTCTGCTGGCAGCCGTGTCTTCACGGATGCACAGTTTCTGATTTAACAGTGGTTAGCGGGGTGGGCAGCCAGCTGGAACCCAGACTGCTAACGGTCAGGCGGTGACACAGCCTAGAAGCTCTGTAGCTTGTGGTTTGGGCAGTGTGTTCTACAAATACCCTCCTGGTCTCCTAAAAGAACACTCTTCAGAACTAGAGTAGTTAAGAATGATGAGGAGCTTGAGATTTAGGGATTAAATTGTCTAAAATTGCATCTTCATAGAAGTTAAATTGATCTCCCTTCTTCCATCCCCGCCACACCCCCCAACCCACCCCCAAAAGGCAAACTCAGTTCATTTCTGCGTTTGAGGCAGTCTGGGCCCTGGAGCCGGGTGTGCGGCCGCTCCTGTTCGAGGCTGGATGGTAGGATGCTTTCCACAGCTGTCCTTGACCAAGAAGGAGACTGTTGACAGATCCATTGCCTTTGTGTGCTCATTCCGCCTACTATGTGCCAGCTGCCCTTGCTCATGACAGTGGGCAACGCAGCTGGCTGCCTGTTGTCACGGAGTCGTGAGCAAATGCTGGGTAGCCCAGAGGGCGTGGAAGAACTGAGAGAAGCTTCTAGGAGGATCTAGTGAGTTGTTTGGAAGTGACCACCTGGGCTGCGGTGGGACGGAGCTGCGGCCTGTCCCACCAGGTGGCTGTACTCACAGTGACCTTTCTCTTTCCTCAGCTGACAAACCTGCTGAAGTGGTACATGAAGGAGTTCAAAGACCCTCTGCTTCAGGCCCCCCCAGCGTGGTTTAAGTCCTTCCTGTTTTGCGAGCTTGTGTTCCAGCTGCCTTTCTTTCCCGTAGCGGCGTACGCCTTCTTGAGAGGTCGGTAACTAGTGGGGAAATCCCATTTTTGATTTTGAAATGAGGTCCCAGAAATCTTGTGGGAAAGTGTCTTGGAGAAGGGGAGCAGTCCCTGTGAGGGTGACCTCGGGTGGGGTGGGGATGGCAGGAGACGTTACTTGGGGTGCAGGCCTGTGCCTGTGCTTAGCTGGGAACCTCTCCCGCACCAGGGGCTGCTTGCAGATTGAACTCGTTCCTTTTTATTGTTTTGGGGGGTTTTTTGTTCGTTTGTTTGTTTTTACCCCTGCAGAATTTTCCTTTCATCATTGGTTTTTATGTTTCTGACTTGGATAGCACCAGACTGGCTTTTATGCAGTAGCATCATCCCAGAAGGGTTTCACTTCTCCTTTATTCTTACGGTGTTCCCCTGGGACTAAGGCTTTTATAAAGACGGGGCCGAACTCACGTACATAGTAACTAAGCTCATACACCCTTTTTCCCACTGGAGACCCCCAACTCTGTGTCTTGGCAGAAGCTGTTGGTCTTCTCGCCCGCATGTAATTCCTTAACAGATGCTGTTGGCAGGCCCCGCCCCCGGCCTCGTGTCAACTGTTAATGGCCATTTTACTGCCACAGAGTTGTTCTGAATCCAACTCCAACCCCCCCCCTCGGTTCTCTGGCGGTCCCTGTGCTAGAGCCCCAGCTCCGGGCGCTAGGCGGCATTAGAGCACCCCCAGTCCTCCATTCGTTTGCCCTGGGAGGGGAGCATTCAACTGGAGGGAGCGAGCAGGCATGAAGAAAAGTGGGGGCCCCCCCAGGGCCATGAGCAGACCTAATGCTTCTCTCCCCCACTCCCCACTTCAGGAGGCCGCAGGTGGATCCGCACCCCTGCAATCATCTATTCAGTTCACACCATGACAACGCTCATTCCAATCCTCTCCACGTTTCTATTTGATGATTTCTCCAAAGCCAGTGGTTTCAAAGGACAAGGACCTAAGACTTTCCACGAAAGACTTACCCTCGTCTCTGTCTATGCCCCCTACTTTCTCATCCCTCTTATGCTTCTGCTTTTCATGTTGCGGAGCCCCTACTACAAGTACGAGGAGAAAAGGAAGAAAAAATGAATGACAGCAGTAATGACTGGCCCCAGGGGGAGAAGCCCACAGCGTGGTTTTCCTGTTGGACCCGGTATGAGGAAAACTGCTCCGAACCCATGTCTCCAGTAGCATTTGAAACACACCAGCAACACACAAAGAGCAAGACTCTGGCAGGAGCCACATCAGAACCTTGCCTTCTGAGGACACTGGTGCCAGCAGACCAGGCAGCTGAGCACAGACAGAAGGGTGTGGGCTGGCTTATAGGGAAGCGGTGCCAAATACCTCCCCGTGGCCCCGAGTTCCACTGTGAGCAGGACCAGACCAGATCCCGGATAAACTTCCAAGAAACGTGGTCTGCTTGGCATATTCATGAGTCCCCTGACCCACAGTGCACATGTGATTAAAACCCTTGACTCCTGATTCTTTGCAGCATATCCTTTATCAGCAAAATGAAGAGTGGGATTTCTGGGGTCATTTTTAAGTTTGAAATTATGCCTCTTTAATATGCATTAAAAACTATCATGGCTTTTTTTTTTTTTTTTTTTTTTTTTTGCCTCCACCCTTGGTTGGGGGAAAGTTTCTGCAAGAGGCCTAAACTCAATTTTACTCAAGGGTCAGCTCTGGCCTGACTTTCAGAAATGGATTAAGCTTGAAGGTGTTTTGTTTCTGTATTAAACAGGTCATCCCAGAAAAGACTTTTTTTTTTTTTAACCTCCTGATTCCTTCTTTCCAATCCTTAATCTTCTATGTTTTTACAGACTACCTGAAATTAAGTCCCTTCCCTCTGAGGTCTGGTGCCTCACACCTGATGTGGAATGTGCTTCCTGTTGGATAACTGCACATTTCCTGAGAGTTTCGTCATCCTTCCTGGCTTGTTCTGAGTAAAGGGGCAGCAAGGCATGACATGTCCATTGTGTAAATGCTGGCTTGCTTCATTGGGTTCCTTTCTCTAAATCATACTCAAGGTCAACTCAAAACACACACACATACCTGTGAACACACATGGGAAATGAGAACTGGTCCTGTCTGGTTCCCTCTTTTTGTCTGTTTTGCTCACAGGCCATGCTGGTCTGCTTGTTGGGAGTATCGTCTGACTCATGTGTCTGGTCCAAATAAAGGCACCTGCTGACCACTGCCTGATTTGTTTCGTGGCCGAGGGAGGGGTGCGAGAATCCAGGGTTCTCTCAGGGTCTTAAATGTACACTTCAAGGGCACCAGGAAAAGAGGGAGATCAAAGCATTCGAAAACAATAATTTATTGCTCTTCCTTTCCAAAGCTTTGTGAAATTACAAAAAAAAAAAAAAAAATCGAGTTTACAGACTGCTCAGGTCAGGTTAAGAATGCCAAGAGGTGAGAGCCTGGACCACCGTGGCCGTGGGTGTTCGCCAGCAGCTGCGCACAGACATCTGCGACAAGCTCCCTGATTTGTTTACTGCCTTCAGAGATGCTGCATTCCTTACACACCATCTCTCAGGACATACGTGGGCCATTAGTCAAGTCACTGGAACAGTATAGAGGTTTTTTGGGGTTTGGTTTGGTTTTTTGCCCTCCTATAAAATTTTCAGTTCATTTCTGAAAAATAAATTGGTCAATAAATTCATTTTGTTCTGCTTCTACTTTACACAGAGCTTCATATTCAACCCGATACCTGAAAAACAAAATTGTTAGAAGCCCTAAAAATGTATGAAATAAACCACGCATTTAATTCTTCTAGAGAAGAAGATAAATTATTTATTTACTTACTTATTTATTTTTAAGACTTTATTTATTTATTTGACAGATAGAGATCACAAGTAGGCAGAGAGGCAGGCAGAGAGAGGAGGAAGCAGGCTCCCCACTGAGCAGAGAGCCCGATGCGGGGCTCGATCCCAGGACCCTGGGATGATGACCTGAGCCAAAGGCAGAGGCTTAACCCACTGAGCCACCCAGGCGCCCCAAGATAAATGATTTAAATGATGCCAAGAAATAGTGTGCGTACACAATGTAGAAGTTAGGGTAAGAACAAAGAGTGGGGTGCCTGGGTGGCTTAGTGGGTTAAGGCTCTGCTTTCGGCTCAGGTCATGATCTCAGGGTCCTGGGATCGAGCCCCACGTCAGGCTCTCCTCAGCAGAGAGCCTGCTTCCCCACCCCCTCTCTGCCTGCTTGTGATCTCTCTCTCTCTCAAATAAATAAATCTTTTTTTTAAAAAAAGAAAGAACAAAGAGGCAAAGCCCAGCTTAGGGCCACACATGAGAAGTCTCCAGCCCCAAGAGGTGTTTTCCTTTAGGAGAACCAGCTGACTCTGGACACTTGCTACCTGAGCTTTCAAGCTCTCAATATTAGAGGTGGTTTTGTTTTAAGAAATTTTCTTGGGGCACCTGGGTGGCTCAGTAAATCATCTGCCTTCAGCTCAGGTCATGTTCCCAGGGTCCTGGGATTGAGCCCCCCCCCCATCGGGCTCCCTGCTCGGCAGGGAAACTGCTTCTCCCTCTCCTACTCCCCCTGCTTGTGTTCCCTCTCTTGCCGTCTCTCTCTCTCAAAATCTTTAAAAAAAATTTTTTTTTTCCTTTCAGCAAATGTAATTTTATTTTTTAAAAGATTTTATTTATTTGACAGACACACAGCGAGAGAGGGAACACAAGCAGTGGGAGGGAGAAGCAGACTCCCTGCTGAGCAGGGAGCCCGATGTGGGCTCAATCCCAGGACCCCAGAATCATGACCTGAGCTTAAAGCAGATGCTCTACTGAGCCACCCAGGTGCCCCTGTAATTTTATTTTTAAAATCTTCAAATCAGGATGACAAGTGAGACACTATCCCTGGGAGAACAATGATGAAGAAGGGTAAGAGGTGACCATTCGAGAAGGAAAATAGAATTGCAATTAAGTAAAGAACTTGCTTTACATCATAACTTCTTACCTTTCAAGCTGCATTTTCTTTTCCGCTATTAGTGCTTGGAGTTGCTGCTGTTGGGCTTCTCTCTGTTTTGCTATAGATTTGAGCAAGTTCCGAGCACCAATGGCCTAGAAAAACAGTATCACCGAAGAAGGTCATGGCTTCATTAAAACTGTCTTCAGCATTAAGTCCTCAGCCAAGGAAGGGCCACTGGGGCTATCTCAGTGTCCAGCTGGCAAGACAGTTGAGCCCCAGAGCCTCGGAAATGAGGAGGAGGACTACCAGCATGACCCCGAGTGCCTGACAACACCCAGACGGCAGCTTCGGGGCAGGTCTATGAGCATCCCCGACTCTGACACACAGGTGGTCAGCGGCCCATTTGATGTGCCATTTAGCCTGGGGTCATTTGCCAAGTCCTTGACACCCTGCATGCCCACGTTGCTTCACTTATAAAACGAGCATAAAACCACCTATCTCGGTGATATGACGGTTAAAGGAAAGAATGACAAAATGTACTGGCATGTAAGAGTTTAACAGAAGGTTAACTGTGCTCGTTACTAAAATCCTGTTTTAAATAAAGAAAAGTCCACACCCCCCTCCCCAAGAAAAAGTCAAGATGGCAGAGGAAGAGTGAATGGGCCAAGATTTAGAAGACATGCTGATCTTACCTTCATCTTCTCATTTTCTGCTTCTTTTGCAAGCTGGTCAACAAGCTCAATTAAACCGCCAACTATTTTCTGAAACTGGCCAATTTCTTTCAGGGAAAGAACAAAAAAAAAAAGATTTTATTTTCTCTGCATCCCCACTCCCTCAGTGTTCCCTTGTGGCAAGAGGGCATGGCTAACTGCCCCTTCTAAATTGTGTCAAAACCATTTGGTGCCTGCTGACCTAAAGTCTTCCACCCTTAGTCTAAACCAGGAGAAGGGGGCCAGGTGCCCAGAGCTGGACGAGGGCCCACTGGACTGAGAGTCCCAAGTGAGCCAGCCAGTGACTATTAACCTTAGGTATGAGAACCCTGATGGGCCCATCCTCTGCGCACTCTCTCTCCTGCTTTCCCAGGAGTGACAGGAAGCACAAAGGGCCACATTCATAGAAGGACTGACTCAGGACATGAACAGAGCCTCCTGACTAGCCCCAGATAAGGAACTAGATGTCAGTTAATGGTGGTTAGGGGGGCAGGGCCTTGCCAACCATGACCAGAGGTAATACAGAATTCAAAGCATTTAAGGGCCTCATCTCCCATTTGCTTCTTTCAGTGTCCTTGGGTGTGGTAGGACCTCGTTCTACCGAGGAGTGAACTAGACCCCAGGGAGGAAGGACAGCATGCAGTGAGAAGACTGGCCACAAAGCCCATGCTGCCTTTCACCAACCAAGCCCTGTAGAGACTCAGGAGAGCCCAGAAAGCTCAGAAATCCCTGCTTTGGCGAGAGCTGCTGTCATTGGGCTTACCCGCCTGCTAGAACAGGCTAGGACAGGCGTCCTGGATAACTAGCTAAAAAATGACCTCAGTGAGTCTGTTGAACTTCCAGGAAATCAAATCGTGAGTACCTAACTCTTTCCTACCCTCAAGCCCTAGTTCTGTTCCAAGGTTTCTGAGAGCAAAAAAAATCAAGGATGGGATAGCCTCTCTCCATTTCACCATTTGCCTTGATCGGTGCTCTGTGTCTGACTACACGCGAGCATTAGAGAGCAGGGAGACAAGGTCGCTGGTACGTGGGAATTCACAAAGGCCAGACACAAATTCCAGGGAGCCACAAGGCCCATTCTGGCAGGGGCGACAGCTACATGGGGTGTGGGGGCAGAGCACAGTTGGCACAGCTCAAAGCCAAGTGGCACCACGTCTCCCCAAATGACACTCACTGTCCACAAAGTCCTTGCATTCTTCCTTGAGCTCAATGGTCTGCTGGGTAACCTCAGGGTCCAACACGCGCAGCTTGTTCAGCTCATCAAAGTGCAGCCCAGCTTCCCCCAGGATATCCTTGGCCATAGCTGTGAAGAAAGCAGCCTCAGTCCCCGATCACTTCCCAGCCACCCAAAGAAATGCCCACTTCCAGCCCAGCCCCACTCCTGCCCCCAGACACCAGTGCCAAAACCCCAGACGCTCCTCCAAAGGCTCCCCTTCCCTCTGCCTCCACCTCTCTGAGCCTCACCTGTTTCCCTTCCGGCTTCCCTAGAGAAGCTCTGCTCTGCTCTGAAGGGGTGCTAGTGGCAGCCGGGAGGTGTGTCATAGGAGCAAGGGTCAGGAAAGAATAAAGTCCAGTTGCTTGTCACGGGCATCGTTCATTCAACACACATTTCTTGAGTGCCTACTACATGCCAACACTGCTAGATGCGGGGGGTACAAGGATGAGGGCGACATGGTGCCCGCCCTGGAGGAGCACATAGTTTAGCTGGAGGAAGACAGACATGGAAACTGAGAAAGTATACTGTGTTAAGTGCTTTTACAGAAATATCACGCAAGTGTTGCAGGAGAACAGAGCAGTTAACAGGGTGAGGGAGTAACATTCGAACTAAGTTGTGAGAAGCCATAAGTATATTTGTCCCCAATTATGTACCCACAAGGACATGAAAAAGCTCTTCCAGCACAGCCCTAGCATAACACCAAAAGCAAGTAAAAGAGGACATCTGCATGACTTAAAACTGAGAGTTAAAAAATAAGCCAGGAATAAAGATATTACCCACAATGTCTGCCACAGACATGCTGGCCTGAACTTGGACCAAAGTTGGTTCCATCTCTTTCTAGCAGAGAACACAAAAAGGAATGAAGCATCAGCAAGAACGTACCAAGTGAGGAGGCTAGGGAAAGGCTTCCCGGGTGGAGAAAACAGCACGGACAAGAGTGTGAGGTCACTGAAACAGCCTGAAGACCTAGAAGATGAAAGGACCAAGAACGGAGCTGCAAAGGTTAGCTGGGACCAGATCAGTAAGACCCTGTGTGTCCAACTCAGGAGTCTGGGTTTCTTTCTGCAGGCAAGAGAATCAGCAGGGAGATCTTTTCCCTTCCCAGGCCACCCTGCATTCCTGGTCCAAAGGATGCCTCAATTCTGGGAAGGACACACTGAAAAATCACTGTTGTTCTGGCAAACAGACACCGCGCGCGCACACACACACACATTAAAAAAACACACCCTGTCCAAATAGGGAAGCAAGGCTACTTAGGTCTAGCCGTTGGCTGCCATACCAATTCCCAAACCCCAGGTGTTCCAAAGGCTCTGCCACCACCTGGCCCTGCACCAGCCCATTCCTCAGCTCCCACCTCCCCCAGCTGTTTCCCTTTGGGCTTCCTTAGAGAAGATCTGTCTCAAATGCCGTGATAATGGGAGTAACTTCCCAGAGCAGGTATACCATAGGAGGAGCAACAGTTAAAAAAAATTAAGTCCCCCAGCCACAAGAACTCATTTTCAAGACAGTCCAAAATCCAAATTTAGAGAAGAAATCTGATTTCTTTTTTAAGATTTTTTTAAAAGATTTTTATTTATTTACTTGTCAGAGAGAGAGGAGAAGCACGGAGAGCTACAGGCAGAACTGGTAGAGGAGGCAGAGGGAGAAGCAGGCTCCCTGCTGAGTAAGGAGCCCGATGTGGGACTCGATCCCAGGACCATGACCCCAGCCAAAGGCAGATGCTTAACCAACTGAGCCACACAGGTTTCCCAAAATCTGATTTTTTTTAAAGATTTTATTTATTTATTCGACAGACAAAGATCACAAATAGGCAGAGAGGCAGGCAGAGAGGCCAGCAGAGAGAGAGGAGGAAGCAGGCTCCCTGCGGAGCAGAGAGCCCGATGCAGGGCTCGATCCCAGGGCCCTGGGACCACAACCTGAGCCGAAGGCAGAGGCTTTAACCCACTGAGCCACCCAGGCAGCCCCAAAATCTGATTTTTAAAGGAAAATCTTAAATTCAAAATTTTAAAGGAAAAACCACATCTAACACTGTGGGCCAACTAATGCAAGTCTGTAGACTGCCCATGTATGACTGTGGCCCAGAGCCCTTGGCCTACTGTACTCCACTGAAGGAACCAGGCTAGCATCTTCCTTTTGAAACATTTTAATCATCCCGAGCTTCCTTTTAATCCAGATTTTTAAAAGATTCATCTTCCTGCTGTTCTGTTACATTTACACATACAGTCCGAGCATTTAACACCTACAGGGCCCAGACCAGCTGCTCTAGAAAGCCTCCAGTAACCTAAGGGATCAAATATCTGCTTCCACTTCCACTCCCTTCCCTGAGAGGATGCATTTATTCAGAAACATTTCTGATCTCTGGTCAGTAAAACAATCACAAGTGGTGAGGACAGTATGAGGAAAAGCACATGGGCTATATGAAGCTGCAGCAAGAGGACATAATTCATATGAGGGGAGGATGTCTCAACAAAAGTTTCTTTTTTTTTTTTTTTAAACACTTTTTAAAGGTTTTATTTTTTTGAGAGAGAAGGAGAGAGGACAAGCAGGCAGAGGGGCAGAGGCAGAGGGAGAAAAAGGCTTCCCGCTGAGCAGGGAGCCCGACATGGGCTCAATCCCAGGACCCTGGGATCATGACCTGAGCCAGAGGCAGATGCTTAATTGAGTGAGCCACCCAGGTGCCCCTCAACAAAAGCTTCTGAAAACTTGACACTCAAGCTGAGACCTAAAGAATACCCAAAAGTTTGCCAAGTGCAGCAGGGAGGAGGCATTCCAGGCAGAAGGAAAAGTATGTGTGAAGATCCTGAGGTGAAAAGAAATGTAGTGTATTCCAAGAGCTGAAAGGCTGGCGTAGTTAAAACCCAGTGAACAAGGGGAAGTGTGGAACAGGGTTAAGTCTAGATGGGAAGGCCAGAGCTGGCTCATGGAGGGCTCTGAAAGCCTCAGTCATGAGCTTGGATTTGATCATAAGGGTAGTGGGCAGCCAGCAGTTCTCAGTAAAGAAGCACAGTCATATCTCCCTTTTAGAACGATCACTCTGACCTAGGATGGAGAATGAACTGGAAGGAACAACAGTAGGGCTACACCTACCTTGTTCATCACTGTAACCCTAGCATCTAGCAGAGTGCCTGCACATACTGGGCACCTGCACTCAGTAAATGTCTGTGGAACGAATGACTGGAAACAGAGAAGGCTATTACAGTAACCAAGGTTTGGAGCTGAAGAAAAGTGTTCCAGTTTGCCTTGTCACGTAAGTTGATGGCATTTGGCAAAGGACTGACTGGATGTAGGGGTTTGGGGATGAGGGAAGGAAAGAGGCAAGCAAGATTCCCATGTATCGGGCTTGAGCGTCAACTGTATGTTCGGAGGGCAGAGTTGAATGAGATGGATAGGACCGGAGAAGGAGGGCAGGGAGAGGGTTCCCAGCCGACCGTCAGATGCCCTCCCAACTCCCACCACACGTGCGTGTCTGGGCATCTGAAGAGCACCGGGCACAAGAACCGCACTGAGCTCCTGAAGTTAACTGCAGCGACACTCTCTCCACCCCCTGGCTCTCCAAGATCCACTCCCGGCCCCGCGCGCAGGCGCCATCCGCGGGGTGAGGGGAAGGGGCACCGTGCACACAGAAAGACCTGGGTGATGGAGCTGGCTGTCCACACTACGTAAACGCCTTGAACTTATATGAGCTGCAGTTTTCTCACAAGACCATTGCGAGCATCAGCGCGGAAAGCTCCAGGTCCAAGATGGGCGTCGCACCGCTCGCAAAGAATCGCGCGGAATCCCCACGTTTCTTTCGGCCTGTCAGGTTCACTCGCCCCAGGTCCGCCCGCGTCCTCCGACCCGCAGTCGCTGCCTACCTGCCAACCCCGTAGCGGCGGCACGCTGCCGCCCGGGCTGATTCCCGCAGCCCGGTTCTCTCCCCGGTCAGCTGCAGCCTGTGCCTCGCCCGCCGGCCTCAGCTGCTGCCACGGCTACAGGACCTGTTTACCCGTAACGTCATTACCTGACTGCGGAAGTACTTACCTCGCCCAACCCGCAGAGCCTGCTGGGAAACAAGCCTGAGAGGAGGGACGGCTGCCTACAAGATCCAGAGGGCTTTGCGCGGGAAAGGCTGCCGGAAGTAGCTGAGCGCTCACCCCCGAAATGCTCTCAGGGGCCCCTCCCTCCCCAGTGATTGGGTTCTGGGCAGGGCAGGCTTTAGAGTTCCAGGTTGAGGAGCGGGCGGGGTTGGGCCGCGGCTTAGGGCGGAGTCCGCGGGTGGAGGATGTGAGCTCACAGCCCCGGATTGCTGGCGGGCAGGCGGCCACAGCCCAGGGCGGTGAGGGGTCGCCTTGCAACCCAGCTGAGAGGAGAAGCGCCCCCCCCCCCCGCCGCCCGGGGACGGTGAGAGCCGGGGTGCGGATGTCCTGGGGGGCAGGATGGACGGGTCCCGAGCTGGAGCAGAGATTCCCACCCAGTCCTGGGGAAAAGGCGTGGGACGGTGTAGGGGAGATGAAGAGCTCAAATCCTCCACTGGGATGGGTGTCAGAATCGGTCTCAGTTTCTCGGTCTTGAGGAGGGGGTGCGGGCCGGGGAAGACTCAGCACAGATCAGAGAGTTGGGTCTCGCTAAATCTTTCCAAACCCTTTGGACGAAGCTTAAGATTTACACCTAGGATTTCTGCTAGATCCTCCCCCTCTATCCAAGATCGGTTACCCGCCCGCTACCGCCTAGTGTGATGGGTTTTTGGGTACTTCTTCCTTTAGGATTCCACCTTCTATAGCCGTGGTTGTGGTCCTGCCCTTTAATCTGCTTAGGTTCCCTTTAGCCTCGCTGAGAGAGACTCGGATACGCCCTCAGCCCCAGGCTATCCACACACAAAGTCCAGAAGGAACAGCGGTGAGGCTATCAATGGAAACTTCATTCTCATTGGAATTACTTACTGAGGCGTCACCTGCCACAAGACTCCTGGAGCCCAGTGATCTGGGAGCCCTAGGGTCTGGGAGGAATCCGAGCAGGCGGCATCTGAGCTGACGTCATCCAGGGGCTCAAAGCAATTGCTTTGTAGGCCCTGCTGGCCACTGCCTGGCCTTGAGTTCCTTTACTTTGGCAGAACGTATGTGTGCTTGCTTTGAACCTGGGGAAACTGGAGCTAAACTACACCCAAAGTACATTGGGAACTTGCTAAAACCTGTTAAGGGGTGGACTTATGCCTTTGGGGTGAGCCGAGGAAGGTGAGGTGATTTCATACTATTCATGTGTTACTTAGGGATTAGGCAATCTGCTGGCAAGGGTTCATCTCATCCATACTCCATTTTTGGGGCAAATGAGAGGCTCCTGGACCAACCACCGAAGAAATTAGGTACTTTACAAAGCACCCGCTCTGCTCCTTCCTTGGACATTCTTCCTAGGGGCCTACCTAAATCTTTTTAGGGACAGTTTTCAGTCTAACAAACTGATATATATTAAATACTAAATATATTAAATGCATGACATTGTGCACTGCTTCTGGATCTCACAACCGTTAAGCTTTTGCATGTTGTGAGGACTACAAGGCAATTTAGCCTTTTTTTCTGTCTGTTACCAACACTGCAGTCCGAGCCTCCGTTTCCTCTGGTATTCCCGCTTGCTCTCCTGCACACTTATGATCCGTTCTCTACCAGGCAGCCGGAGTGATCTTTTCAAAATGTAAATAACTCAGATCCTGTCACTCCCTTGCTTCAAACCCTCCAATTGATGTCCATCACAATTAGTATAAAATGCAAACTTTTTCATATGAAGCAGCCCCTGCGTTGTCTGACTTTACATCAAGCCAACTTCCCCCTTTTCTATGCACTAGACATCTTGACCTTATTTCTGTTCCTAAAACTTGTGGCTAACTGAGAAACTTTGCACTCACTCTTCCATCCATCTGGAATGCTCTTTCAGACTTCAGCTGGAATGTCACCTTCCCAAAGAGGCTTTCCCTGGCCCCATCCATCTTAGGACTTCTCCCTAGTCACTCTCTTATCACTAGCTTAGTTACTGCATTTCTTACCATCTGGAACTGCTCGCATATTTATTTTCTTGCTTATTATGTATATCTTCCCCCTAGAATGTAATCTCTGAGACCATGACTTACTTGTTCTCTTCTATATCCTCAGTGCCTGGCACATAAAAGGGGACAATAAATGCTAACTCTTACTATTTTTATTCTTGTTAACGTTATGTTGCTTCTTTGTACTCCATGAAGGCAAGGCCCATATCTTTCCATCTCTCTGTCCCTACTGCCTAACAGAGTAGGCACTCAGTCTTATTTTCTCGCTGTATGAATTAAACGAAGTAATGTCGGTTAAGTCGCCTAGACTAGTACCTAGAACACAGTAAACCTGCAGTGAATGTTTGCTCTTTTTTTCCAGTGGATGAATTGTAGTGATTCCTTAGAAAACCAAGACATGTAATAAAGAATCTAGCTCACGAGGGGTGACCTAGCTCTGCCCTCCTTTGCTTCCCTCACTCCTCCCTCCCATGAATGCCTATCAGTGTTTCAGTTTCCAGATCACTTCGTAGTTGTTTTGAGATTTACCGTCTTTTTGAGCCCCTTCTCCCCAGTCTTGTGGGCAGGGAAGACAGGAAGAGATAGGGCTGGGCCTCCTCTCAGGAAGAGGTAAAAA